TAAAAAAAAAAAAAAAAAAAAAAAAGGGTCAAATATACATTCTTAAAATTAAATAAATTAAAAAAAAAAAAATAAAAAAAGTAACAAAATTAAGTATGCAAAGGTACATAAACTATTTTTACAACACTTGTATTTTTTTTTTCTATTTTAATTTAATAAAATTATAAATATTTAATTAAAAAAAATATGTATTCATGATTAATAAATATTTAATAGAAACATCAAAAATATGTATTATTCTGAAATATGTTAATATTCTCAATTATAAAAAATATAATTTTGTTATTTTTTTTTTAATAATTATATATTGTCTATAATTAAAATTTGTAATTTTTATAATTCTAAAAAATTTATATTAAATAATTTTATCCAATGCATTATAATATATTAGTTAAAAAATAAAAAAAAAAAGAAGAGAAGAAAAAGAAAAAAGTAAAAAATGAAAAAAAAATAAGCTACACTATAGTTAGGATAAAAAAAAAAATAGCAAATATAAATTAAGAATCTTAAATAAAAAAAAATTAAAATAGTTAAAAATTATATTTATTATTGGTTTTCATTTTTTTTATTATAAATCTATTTTATTATAATACTGATAATTGTAAAAATGAATATATAAAATAAAAAATAAATGCAGCTAACATATATAATTCTTGTATACAGCAAAAAAAAAAAAAAAAAGTAATAAAATAATAAAATTTAATTAGTTATGCATATACCTTTAAAAAAAAGTCTTGCTATAAATGTATGTATAGAATTGTTAACACGGAAGAAAAAAGAAAATAAAAAAAAAAATGAAATGAATACATATACATACATAAATATATATATTTATATATAGAAAATTTGATAAATATATTAAAGTTTGTATCTTTCATATATAATATTTTATTAAAAACTTAAATGTAACATTACAATTAAAAAAAAAAAAAGGTAATAAATAATTTTTTTTTTATATGGTTTTCTACTTTTTTCTTATTTTTAGGTTTACTTTTAAGTATAATTTTTTTTTTCATGTATATATATATATATTATAGAATGTATACATATATATTTTAATTTTCTAATTTAATTTAAAAAAAAATCTAATAAAAAAGAGAAAAAAATTATATATTTTTTTCTTTGATAATTTATAAAGCTATTTTTTTTTTTATTTCTAATTTTAATTATTTGAAGAAATTTTCGTTAAATACACTTACTAAAATGTAATTAATTAAAAGGCATAATTTTTTCTTATAATTAGAAAAAGTTATTATTATAATTTTTTTTCTAATTTCATCAAGAAATTAAAATTGTGAATAACATAAATTTTTTTTTGCAATGAAATATATAAAAGAAAAAAATATTTTTGATATATAATTTTTTTTTTAATTAAACATTTTAATTATAGAAAAAAAAGAAATTTATAGAATTTATAATGGTCTTAAAGTAGAAAAAAAATTTCTAATAGATTTTAGAGGTACAAGATTTAAAATAATTTCAATATTGTAAAAAAAAAATTGCAAAGAAATTTTATATAGCTTTTTCCTAATATATATTAAAATTTTACAGGAAAATATAAATAATTTGCATCATTTCTTAATCTTTATTTAATAGTTAAATTAAAGTAAAATGTAAATTAAAAAAATCCACAATCATATAATTTTTCTCTCTCTTCTTTTTATCCAGGTAAATATTATTTTATATATAGTTTTCGATTGGAAATCTATCCACATTTTTCTATTTTGTTATTAAACGATAAATAAAATTTATCAAAATTATTATATAAAAAATTGTAATTAGAAAATATAATTATTAAGCACTTAAAATAAAAAGAATATATTACAGAAAAAAAATAATTTCTGGAACATTTTACACAAAGCATTTTAGCTTTACTATAAAAGTATATAAATATATACAAATATATTTAACATATATATATATATCTTATATCACATATTTTTTTTGGAATTACTATTATGTACAATTTAAATAAAGTATTTATTCTTCATTTTTTAATTAAATAAAATGTTTTAATAATAAAATTTTTAAATGAAAATTCATATTTTTATATTTTCTGTTTTTATCTAAATTAATGTATTAGAAAAAAGATTTCCCTCTTTTTTTTTTTTTTTTTTTTTAAATAAATATGCATGCATTATACAAAAAACTATGGAGAAAAAAAACTGAGAAGAAAAAAAAAAATGAATATGCTTATGAATAAGTATAATAATTTAAGAAATGTATTAAACTCACCTTTCTTCTTGTTTGCATATTTTTGTAATTTAACATTATGCTATTGTATAAAATGCATATAAAATCACTTGAATTTTTTTGTTGACAAAAAAGATAAATTATTTGTAATTATAAGATGCATACACATTCATATATATTAATTTTTCTTTAACTGATATATATCGTTGAATATATATAAAATTAAAATTAAATTATTATTTCTATTATATTTAGTATTTGTTTCACAACACTTTTTTTTTTAAATACACATATTTGTATTTATATAAGAATATATATATATATATATATATATATAAAAATATATATAAAAATACATATATATATATATATATATATATATATATATATATATATATATATATAAATATTTATAAATATATATATATATTTATATATGTATTTTATTGAATTTTATAAAAAAATTTACTTTTATAAATATATATGTATATACAAATGAATATTAATTACAACATCAATAATTGTAAAAATGTTGAGATAAACTAAAATAATAGAGCCATATTTTCATTTTAAAAATATCCAACAAAAATAAAAAAGAAATAGAAGTTATAAATTAAAAATAATATATACGCGACATTTTTAATTTAGTTATTCTCAAAATTCTAATTTATAGTATGATTCTTTATTATTATAAAATTATTATAAATATAAAATGTTAATTGTGCGAAGATATCTAAATAATTTAAATTATTTTTAAAATCAAATTTTTATAGAATAATTTAAAAATTTAAAAAAAAAAAAAAAAAAAAAAAAAAAAAAAAAAAAAAAAAAAAAAAAAAAAAGCTAAAGAAAAACTATTTAAATAGAAGATTAAAATAATAAGAGAAAATATATCAGAATTGTAAATACTTCAAAAAAAAAAAAAAAATATATTAAGATGAATAAAATGAGAAAAGAAAAATTGAATAAAAAACTAAGTTATAAAATATAATTAAAATTATGATAAAAATAGAGAAATTATTTTATAAAGTTACTAAAATTTACAAAAGTACAATTAAATAATTGAAAAAGGAATGAATTTTTTTCTGTTTATACGTAAAGTCTTTTTAATTATTATATTACAAAAATACTATTGAATAAAATTACATTAAGGTTTTTTGTAGATAAATGTAATTTCACTGCTAAAATGTAAAATTTAATTTTTTTTTTTTTTTTTTTATTAATAAAAAAAAATATAAATAAATGTGAATATTCTTCACTTATTTGTTTAAATATATCTAAATATTTATATCTCTCTATATATATAAACTAATATTTTTTTTAAAATGAAGCTAGTTGAATTCAGGCTTGCAATGCCTTTAACATTAGAAGAATATAAATTATGTCAATTATATTTAGTTGCAAAAGCATCATTAGAAGACTCTGAAAAGAATTTAAATTCCGTAGAAAAAAATGAAAATGAATCTAAAAAAGGAATAGTTATATTAAAAAATGAAAGTTATAAAAATGAAAATGGATTATCAGGACAGTATACTTATAAAAGAATAAATTTACTGAATAAATTACCAAAATGGTTATTAAATTTTATTGATCCTAAATATTGTATACTAGATGAAAAATCATGGAATTCTTATCCATATTTAAAAACAGTTTATGAATCAAGTGGATTCCCAAAAGCGAAAATTCAAGTTGAATCAGCTCACCACATGGGTTTTAATACGGAAAATAATGCATTAAATATATCAGAAGAATTATTACCATTAAGAAAGATTATTTTTATAGATATTGTAAATGATAAAGTATCATATAAGGATTATAATCCAAAAGAAGATCCCTCAATATTCTATAGTGAAAAAGCTAAGAGGGGAAAATTAGATGAAAAATGGAAGGAGAATAGTACACCTATTATGACTTGCTATAAATTATTTACAATTAATATTCCTTATTTCGGAATTTTTTGTTCAAGAATTGAAAATTGGATTATTAGTTCATTAAAGGACAATATTTTAAAATATCATAGAAAAGCTTTTTGTTGGATTGATGAATGGTTTGATTTAACAATTGAAGATATTAGAAATATTGAAAAAGATGTTCAGAAGAAACTTAATCATTTTTGGAATGAATCGGAGCAAAATAATATCGATAAAACCAATGATAATGATGATGAGAAAGAATCTTTAAAGAGACAAGAATGTTTCACTACTACAAATTATGATAATAAAAAAAAAATAATTGAATGTGATAATATTGACATTATAAATAATAATAATTTTGATAATTTAAATAATAATGAATCTACTATAGATACGTGTGAAAAAAAAAAAAAAAAATCGGACAGTTTTTTCACAAACACAAATATTAATTGTAATAAAAATGAAACGGAACACCCCTATCTTAGCGAATCGTTAAATAAAGATGCATATATGAATTTACATAATTATAGTTGTAATGCTAATTCTTTTGTAAATGATAAAAATATTCTTTTACAAAAGGATACTAAAAATGAAAGTCACACAAGGAATGAAAAAGAGTTAATTATACAACATTCACATTCAGTTAATATAGATAATAATAATAATATGGAAACACTAACAAAAAATATAAGTGAAAATAAAAGAGAAAAAAAGGAGAAAAAAAAAAAAAAAGATGATTATGAGAATGAGAATTTAAATAAACCAAAGAAAAATGAATCGAGAAGATTCTCATATAATGAAAAAAAATCAAGTAATGAAAATAATGAATCAAAAAGTAGTTTTATAAATTCAAGAAAAGTTAGTTTAAGAGTAAACACGTTAAAAGAAAATAATTTAAATCAAAATCAAGTCGTAGAAAAAGTTAATATAAAAAAAAAAAATGAGAGAAAACAACATAAAAATGAATCAGACAATTTTTTTTTTTTCAAAAAAAATAATGACAGCAATGAATATGGAGAGTATTTATATAGATTAAATGATGGAATGTTTTACTCTTGGAAACTTAGATATTTTGTTATGAAAAACAATAAATTATGTTATTATTTAAACGACAAAAAAAGTGAATTAAAAGGGGAAATTGATTTACTAAACGCACAAATACAATGGATAGGGGAATATAAAGGAAGAAATAGTGTATTTGTTATAAATTCATACTCTAAAAATGTTGTTTACTTAAGTTCGGATGATGAAATTCAAACAAAAAAATGTATGATAGATGTTCAAATGGCTACTCTCTTGAATAATGAAAATGTGAAAAATGAAGTAGAAGAAGAAAAAACAAGCAAAAAAAAGTTGAGTAATGCAAAAAATCATTATTTGCCAATAAAACAAAGTAATAATAATGAAAGTGAACACACAGAGAGTAAGGATAAAAGAAATGAAAAAAATGATTTCATAAATAAGAATATTTCATACAGTAACAATGTGAATGATAAAAATGTAATTAACGAAAATATATGTGATGAAAAAATAAATGATGAAATCTTATATAATATTAATAATTACCTAAATGATGAAGATAATAAAAATAAAAGTGAAAATAAAGATATAAATAATGACAAAAATTTAAAATATAATAGTTTAGATAATGAAAATTTTAATGGTAGAAATGTTATTCATAAAGAAGACGGTGGATATAGTAATTTGAAAAAAAATGATATGATTTTTAAGGAAAATGAATATATTTTTAGTGAAAAAATAAGAAAAAATGAAATAAAAGGATCTTTTAATGTTAATAGTAACTATAATTTTTCGAAAGATGAAAACATTAATAATAATATTTATGAAGAGTTAAATTTATGTAAGAAAAATAATAGTTATATATTTGATAAAAGCTATAATTTTCATGATGATGATGATGAAAAAAAAAAAAATATAAAATTTTCTAATGAAGAAAAAGTAAATGTAAAATGTAACATTTTAAATGATATTAAAAATAAAACATCATATTTTAGTAATTGCAAAAATATTGAAAAAATTAAATTAAAAAGCAATATAATTCCTGATGATATAAAACATTTTTTTATTAATTTGAATATTGACATTAATGAAATAAATTTGAATGGATTACAAGAATTAACATATCATATTAAAAATTTCTCTATATATAAGATGAATAATCGAAACAAAAATATTGATTTATTTTATTTTATAATTATTATTTTTTCTGTGTTCTCTTATATATATTCATTTATAACATTGTATATATATTTTAAGACTATCTTTTATTTTTTGTTTTTCTTTCTTTTTTGTGTTTTTATATTTTCTTATAATGAAAATTTATCCTTCAATTACTTTAATAATATATACAGGTGCTCTTTAAATGTTCCTGTAAATATTAATTATCTGATGAAATATTTGACAAGTGATAATAAATATCATTTAGGAGAATTTAATAAAAAATTATTTAAAACTAAAAAAGCAAATTTGTATTATGTTTTTAGTTCTATTAATATATATTTTGATAACTTTTTTTTGAGTATGTTTTCAGATTTTTTCAAATCAAGAAGTGTATTTTGTAGTCAATATTGTTGTAAATATACTAGTAATAATATTAATAACAAGAAAAATGAAAATAAGAGTTCATATATTTTTATTCAATACACTAATGAAGATGCTAAAAATTTTTTTCGTTTGTTAAATTTTAATGAAGAAATGTATAATAGCAATTTTTCCTGGAATAACAGGACTGCTGATTGTTTAAATGAAAAAAATAATATTTCAAAAATGAAAACAAATAAAAATATAAAGAATAAAATAACCAATATAAATGATGTAAATAATTTGAATTATGAAGAATTAAGAATTAATAAAAATTACACAGAATCATTTCATGTCAATAATAATAGTGATGATAATAAAAATAATAGTATAAATAAAATAAATAATGAAATTAATAATGTAAACTATATGATGAAAAAGAAAAGTGTTACTATTGATGAAATTAATAATGTAAACTATATGATGAAAAAGAAAAGTGTTAATATTGATGATATTAATAATGAAAATACGTTTAATTTTTATAATGATAAAAAAAATACAAATACTCTTTATATTAAAATAAGAAATATTTTCTTGAGGATTCTGTTGAAATCAAAATTTTTATTTAAATATTTTAAAAGAAAATATGATAAGTCTATTGATATGGAAGGATTTGATATATTTTTAATAAAAGAAAAAGATGAAAATTTATGTGAAATAAATTATTTCACTTATTATAATTATAAATCCTGTATTTTTAATAATCTTTTGAATTTTTATAGATGTTTAAATATTAATTCTTTGTTATCTTATGATAATTGGAAAATCCTCAATATTGAAAATTTAAGTGGGGATAATGAGTGTGAAGAAATTTATAATGATAAGATAGAAAAAGACAGTTCACCATATATAGAAAAAAGAAAAATTGAAAAGGAAATATGTAGAAAAATATTATTTAATTTAAATAATGAGGATAATTGTAAAAATGTTATCCAATATATTTATGATTTAAGTTACAATGGATTCCTTAATAGTAAATATATATCACTAATAAAAAATGTAGATGACGTATTTTTTATTATTAATTTATCTAAAACCTTTTTATATATAATTGAATACATACGTTTATATGAATTTAAACAAATGAGTATTATGAATGAATATATAAATAATTCTAAGAATAATTTAGATTTTTCGGATAATTTATTCATTTCAAATGTTATTCTTTTATTGAAATCTCTAAATCTTTTATATTACACTTTTTCAAATTCTTTTATATTATCGAAAAAAAACGAAAAATTTGAATGTTCATATGATAATTCCAATGTCAGTATAAAAATGAAAAATAGTACACCATTATCATTCTTTTTGATTGCAGAAAATTTTAAATCAAAAACAAAAATTACTTCTGATTTAAATTTAGCAACTCTTTGTAATTTTGATGAAATTAAATTAATTATTGAAAATGAAATTTACATAAAAAACAATAATTATCAAATATGTTTAAGGTATCCAAACATTTATTTAAAAAATATTATGCATGGTCATTTACGTTTTTCTTTTTCTGATAAATTAGTTATAAAAGATTCTTTAAATAATTGTGCTGATATCATGGTAAAATTTATATAAAATGTTCTAAATGAATTAATAATAATTATAACTATTAAATTAGATGATTATCATAAAAGAAAAAAAAAAAAAAAAAAATGTTTTTAATCAAATGATATTTTCATTAACTTATTTTTTTTTTTATACTTTTAGTTTATAGATAAATCAAATTATAACGGACAATTTTTTGGAGTTATTAAAAGAAGAGAAACAGTTACAGATATTTTGAGGGGGAATATTTTTGATAAAATAATTCTGAATGAAGATAAAGAGTATAATGAAATAAAATAATATTATATGAATTGTTCACTCAGACAAATTACTAAAACTTTTTTTTTTTTTTTTTTTCTTCAGATTCAGTGGTATAGAGGGAATTCAAATAAATATGATACATAAAAAGAATATAAAAAATTCAACTACGTAAACAAAAGAAAAAAATAAATTTAAAAAAAAAAAAATGAACAAATAAAAAAATAAATATGAATATAATTGAAAAATAATTTTTTTAGGTTAAGCTTAGATTACCAAAAATTATCACATATAATAGAAGAAAAATGCAAAATAAAACAGAACAAATATTAAGTGTTTAAGATATCCCTCTTTTAAAAATTTCTCTATTTATATATGTTAATGGGAAAAAAAAAAAAAAAAAAAAAAAAAAAACATTTATTATATTTTACTTTTTTTTTTTTTTAAAATATAGGATTCTTTTTAAATTTCACATTTTTTTATTAATAATCGTGTAAATTTATGTCTTTATTTTGCTTTTTCTTTTTCTTTGTTTTATTTATTTTATTTTATTTTTTTTTTTTTTTGTAATAAAATATATGCATTCAAGTATTATTTACTTATCAATTTTTAAAAAAAAATATAAATATATCATTAAAAAAAAAAATTTTTTAATATGTATAATTTATTTTTTTTATTAAAAATTTTAATTTATAATATATTTATCACTTTATTTCATACTCTAGGTTATAAATACCTACACACATTTCATTTTCCTTAAAAAAAAAAAATAAAAAATATACTTTTTGTAATGTCTTATAATACATAATTTATTTGTTTTTATATAATTTTTTTCTATTTCTTTTTTTTTTTTTTTTTTTTTTTTTTTCGTTGTTTTAAATATAAATAGTAAAGATCTAGATAATAAAAAAAAATAATACTAATAAAAATATTTAAATAAATTAATATATTATCCTTACTTCATTATAATCACACCAATTAAATTCTGACAAATTTACATCGTAGTATAGTTTTCCTTTTGTATCTTCAACGATAAAATTATTACTGGGTATAAAATCAACAATTTCTATTCTAAAAAAATTATTAAAGTAATATTAATAATATAAAGAATATAAATAATAAAGAAAATAATAAATAGAATAAAATTATTTTCTTAATATTTTTGTTTTATTTTATTTTTCTTTTTATATTTACCCTCTGCACTCAAAACTTGCAAAATCTTTCCAGATGTTGCTTTCTTCACCATAAGAACAACAATTTTTTGTCTAGATGGAAAAAAAAAAAAAAAAAAAAAAAAATAACAATATTATAAAATAATTTTTATATATTTCAAAATTAATTATTCTTTTTTTTCTTCAATTTTTTATTTTTCACTTTTTATACATTTACAAAATTGATTGTGGAATATTTTGGATATTCTGTCCATTTAACCATAAAATTTGCTGTACTGCATTTTTGAACATAAAAACGAATAATTAAAATTATAAAATTTATTAATAAATTTAAATACATATTTATGAAATGTTTATCTAATGTTTACCCCCTACTGTTAGGTATGTCTAATTTGTCAATTTTTCTGAATTGTATATTGTCCCTTGTTAAAGAAGAAGAACTATCTCTGACTAAGAGAATAACACATATATATATAAATAAGTAGTAAAAAAAATTATATATCTAAAAAAATAAAATATTTTCTTTAATTTATACTATTAAATATCCATAAATACTCATCATCGCAATATAATCTTTTAACATTTTCTAATTCAGCTTTTATTCGTATAGTTGTATTTTTCATTTTTGCTTTTCTACTTTTATATAAACTATATTCCAACTTTTATTTTTTTCATTCTAAGAATTATCTTTATTATAGAAAAATATTCAAAATAATATATTTAAAATGATTAAACACAAAGTAGTAAGTTAAATGTTTTCTTATATATATTTCATAAAAACATAAAATACGTATAAATATACTTTTTTATTATATTATATTCTTTAAATATTCAATGAAACTCTTCTTTTTTTTCTACATAATAGAAAAAAATAAAAGTAATAATGATATATATATATAAATATATACAAAAAAAAACTATGTTAATTTATAAAAATACAAAATTATATCATCATAAAATAAATAAATACCTTTTGTTAAAAAAAAAAGAAATGTACATTTATATATATATATATTTATTTTAATTTTTATTTACCTTTTTGGTTATACAACCTTAATAAAAACTAATAATTTAAATTAGAAAACACGTATTTAAGAATTTATATTTTGTTTGATAATATTTATTTTCTATGCATGCTTGATAAAGAATTAAATCTAACAATTTCTTTTTTTTTTTTTTTTTTTTTGCATTAAAATATTATTTTAATAAAAAAAGAAAACAAAATAAATATATATATATATATATATATATATATATATATATATATATATATATATATATATATGTATAAATGAAGTTAAAATCGACATACATGTATATTTACAGGTTCTGTTTTTCTTTGAATATATAAAAAAAATTACTCTATATGTAAAAATTTTTTGTATATATATAAAAGATCTTTATAAAATGGTGAACAAGTAAGACTAAAGCATTTTTTAAAATTTACATTCTTAACATATATTTAAATGGAAAATTATATAATATATTCCATTAAGTAAAATGTAAATACTAATTTTTTATTTCTTTTAATAAGATATATTTAACTAAAAATTCAAGACAAAGGAGTATTTTTTTTTAAAAAAGAAAGGTCAACATGTATAAAAAAAAAAAAAAAAAATTTCCTTAAAATATATTATGGTTTTTATGTATTTTTTAATATATTCTTTTATTCTTCTATTTATATTTATTCATATAAAAAAAAAAAAAGTTTTCATTATTTGTTATAAAAATAAGCTTTTTTTTTTTTTTTATTTTTTTTAGATGTGTTGATTGTATAATTTATAATATTTTTTTTTTCTCTTAATATATTTTATTTACTTGATTTTTTTTTTTTTTTTTTTTTTTTTTTTTTTTTTTTTTTTTTTTTTTTCTTTTCTATTAAATATGTTAAAATTTAGAATTATAATTTAGATATAATTATATATATTATTCTTTATTTTTAATTGCAAAATTTTTGTGTTTTAATTTTATCCTTGTTTATTTACATAAATAGAATAATGCTTTAACTTCATATTTTTTGAATCCTTAAATTTTTTTAAAATATTACAATGAGTATCACTAACAAATTTTTAAAATGAACCTTATTCTAATATGCTTTTACTACCTTTTTTTTTTAAATTCAAAAATAAAAGATTTCTGTTTTTGTTCTTCAACAAAGAACAACAAATTTAGCAATTTATGGTTAAAGTTAAAAGAATTATTTCAAGATAAGTTAGTAGAAAAAGAAAAGAATATTATAACTTATAATTTTATAATACACAATAATAGCAATTACATTGATAAAAAAAATAATATTTTAATAAAAAAGAATGAAGAACATAAAGGTTTTGAGATAAATCATGTAAATAGATTAATATATATTAATAATTTCAAAACATATATATTGAGTGCTTATGTGCCGTATATATATATGAGTGTTAGAGATATATATATTGTTTTAAAAAAAATTAAGGAATTAAATTTTAACACAGTGTACACTTTTTTATTTTGGCCAGAAAATGAGTATTTAGAAGATAAATATGATACTAGTAATTCAAAACTATTTTATTTATTAAATTTTTGTGCTTCTAATGGATTATTTGTTATATTGAATATTGGACCATATATAAATAATATTTACAATTCTAACATTCCTACTTACATTTTGTTTAATAAAAAAGTAAATGATTATATTAATTTAAATAAGAGAAAAATAAGAAACTATTTTCAATGGAATATATGGAGAAAAAAAAAAAAACCATTTATAAAGGATTCCAAAAAATTACAAAGAAGTGTTATAGAAAAAGAAATTAATCAAAAGAAAAATTTGTATAACAAAAAAAAAAATGAATATAATAAAATATATAGTTTATACTTTTATAAAAGGGCTATTAAATGGTTTAATTATATTTTACCACGTATAAAAAAATATACCAATATAAATAATGGCCCTATAATATATTTAAATATAGATAAGACATTTGATAATTATTATATGTATATAATAATTGAATTAAAAAGAAAAAGATATTTTAATAACTTATGCAAAATAGAAAGTTATTTGGAAAATAATAATTCATCTAATTCTATCTTAAGTTGTATAATAAACTTTTTAAGAAGAATAAGAAGAAGTTATATAATAACTTTAGGCTACTTATTATACATCAGATTTAATAAATATTTAAGAGTTATTAATGAATATGAGCTTGGATTAATATATATAAATGAAATAAATAAACTCATTCAAAAACATTTAAATAAAATAAATATATTAACAACGAATTATCCATTCATTAGTGATAAATTTATAAATTCTTATGCCGGTAATAATTGCTACAATCACTTTTTGCATAATAATTGGTTCGATAATGAATGCATTAAATTAAATAAACCATGTATATGGTCTCAAATGTGGACAGGAGCTAAATATAGTATTCATGATATTAACTCTCCTAATATTTTGAAAAGAAAATTTGAGGAACATATTATTTATAAATCTCCTCTTATAGATAATACAGAAAAAGAAAATAACTCATCAAATTTGTCAGAAAATATAGATGCAATAAATAAATATTTTAAAGGAAAGAATAATTCCGAAAAAGAAAATCTTAGTAAAAATGACCAATATATAATACATAACAAAGATACAAAAAAGCATTCTAAAAAAATTTCTAATAATAACAAAGAAGAAAAAGAAAGAAAAGAAAAAAAAAATGAAATAAAAGAAATAAGTATAAGTGTAAAAAAAGAACATACAAAATATAATAATTATATAGGACATATAAGAAATTATAAGGATTTAACTTTCAATATTTTAGTATTTTTAGCAAAAGGAGGTGTTTTTTTAAATATTTTTCCTTATTATAGTGGAAATAATATAAATAACATGCATATATATTTAGAGCATTATAGCAAAGAAACTGGACAACCTATAGATCTATATTTTAATCAGAAAGAACCTTTATATTCTCATATAAAAAAAATTTTTAAAATTTTAAAAAAATATGGTTATTATTTAATGAAAGATGGAAATTATATTAATCCTATAAAAATATTTAAAAATATAGAATTATATGATTACGATGTTATTAAAATTATTTGCAACTACAATATTAAAGGAAGTAGATTTGTTAAAATAGGTCATTTAAAATATAATATAAATAACTTTAGCTGTATTATATATAATGAATATAAAAAGAAAATAATTTATGATTCTTCTCATAATTATAATTATGATTTTTCTTATATAAGTAAAAAAGAAACATATTATCCTATTGATAAATATTTATATTCATTAGATGTAATAAATTCTGGACCCTTAATGTGTTTAAAAGAAGAAGAAAAAGAAAAAAAAAAAAGATATAGAAAGAACACTATATTGTCTAAAACTATTATTAAACATATGAAACTGTTTTCTTATTTTCACCCATACTTTTTGCATTCTGTATATATAATAAATGTTTTAAATCATTATTATTTAACATTAGATTTCACTAAATTTCAATGGTACATAATTAAAATGAAAAATGATATTAATTATGTAAAATTATTTGTAAGTAATTATAGCTTATATATATATATTTATGCCGATAACAAATTTATATATGGAGGATTTAATGAGTATAAATATATTGAAATAATAAATTCTAAAAATATTTATATTATATGTGTAAATTTGGGTTTAGGTTTACCCAAAGAAGATATTAGAACAGATTTTTTCAATAATGTAAAGATAAAAGACTTAAAAAATAATCACATTTTTGAAGAAGGAGTGAAGAATGATACACAAGCTGAAACAAATCTGAAATCAAGTGAGAAAAGTAATTACATGAACTTAAATAAGGAAGAAAATTCTCAAAATAATGATGGAAATATAGATTGCAATAAAAGTAAAACATTAAAAGAACAAAATTTAAATAATAAAAATGAACAAAATAAGGATACACATATTTTGGAAAATTTTGGGTATCATATAAATGATAGTGAAAAACATTTCAATGAGAAAAATTATGATGCTTTTGGTGAAAATGAATATAATATGCATAATTATTATGATGAAGAAAGTATTAATACATTTATATTTATCATTACAAGAAATGAATATAATTTACATAATTGTGTTGGTTTAAATGGAGAAATATTAAAAAATGAAAAAAATATAAATGAATATAAAAAAATGTACAATTTTTTTGAGTATAATTCTATAAAACCACATGTAATGAATTGGATTTATAGTTCTTCGGTAGATGATAATCTAAAAAAAAATGTTTCCTATAATAATAACAAAAAATTAAAAACAACAAAGAAAGATGATAATAATGAAAATGACAAAATAAAAAATTATGACAATAAAGATTCAGACCATAAAAAAATGAATATTGAAACAGTAGTACATAAAAATAAAATTGAAATGAGGAATATAACAGATGCATTTTTAAAAATGTGTACATCGAAATTTTTTTCTTTTTTTCTTAACAAAATACAATATTACTGTAAAACTGGTATATTCAAATATTTAAATGGATTTAATAAAGTTAATAAAGAAAACATAAATTTGCCATTAACTTGGTATACTTTATTGTACTTTATTAAGAAGGTAGATTTTATTAGATCTAAGTATTCTTTAAAGTTATCTTCATATGATGTGGAAAATAATAAAATTGATGGATTATTTAGAGGGTTTGTTTACATCAATAATCATATTTTGGGAAGTTTTTGGACTACAGATGATATTGAAAGTTATGGAAATGAAATTAATGGAGAAAAAAAATCAAAAACTAAAAAAAACGAAAAAGATAAATTTTTAAATAATGAAAATTTAATAAATATACCTTTGACGAGATATATGAGAATACCAACAGATTGGTTAGTTGAAGGAACAAATGTTGTAATAATTTTTGATGAATATGGAGGAAACCCTTATAAAGTTGAAATAGTTAGAGAAATATTACATGGTGGTATATATAGACTAACAAAAAAAGAAAAATACGTAAATTGGTTTCTTTTTCTTTTTATTTTAAGTATTGTTATTTTTATTACATATTTTTTTTTTAAAGCTTTACATAATTATTTTAAAACGAAAGAAGAGAAGGAGAGGAATAAACAAAATTATCAAAATATAATAGAAAATATCATAACACATAATATGTGTATAAATAGTTCATATGATGATGTTACTGAAGAAACTAATACTGAAAATATTCAAAATGTTAGTGATTTTCTAGATTCATAAATTTTTTTTATTATTTTTTTATTTTTCCAGAAAAATAATTAATATAATTATTATTTGAATTTTAAAATTATTATATTTTTCCTTTTTTTTGAAAAAAGGTATCTGTCAATTATTTATATGATGTTTAAGTTTGTAGTTTTTTTATCATTACAAAACAATTCTATAAAATATATTTTTGATTTATATTTTTAATATAGTAATACATAAAAAGAATATATATATATAATTTCACATATTACTTTTTTAATAAACTTGTAACTTTTTTTATATATATATATATTTTTTTTTTTTTTTTTTTTTTTTTTTTTTTGTTTTCTCATAAGAAAAAATATTTTTTCACTATTTCTTTTTATATGAATTATATATAAATATGTTTTATATACAAATATGTATTATATAAATATATGAATTACAATTATTGTCTTAATAATTTAATAAGTTTTATACTTTAGAATTTCCCACTATTTCTTTATTTTTTATAAAATATATTTTGAAAAAAAAATCAAGTTTAATTTTTTACCTAATAAAACTAATTTATATTTTTAAATTTATATATGTTATAAAAAAAAATTAAAAATGACTTTGAATTTAAAATTTATGTACAAAAAAAAAAAAAAAAAAAAAAAATTTAAAAAAAAGAACAAAATAATATAAAACAATAATAAAATAGATGTATATGTAATATAGAAACATAAATGGAATTAGAAGTAGTATATTTATTAATAATACAAATATTGAATTTTGTAAAATTAAATCTTATCATAATTTATATTTATGTATGTATTCTTTGTTTTAATTATACTGTCCGTAAAGAAATATATGATGAAATTTAAAAAAAAAGGTAGTATAACCATTACAATTAAAAGCTTGAATTTCATATCATTAATAAGTGATAATGTATACAAAACAAATATATTAAAAATAGGTGAAAGAAGAAAAAAAGATAACAATGTAACACACTTTGCAGTTAATACAACTGAAATCCACAATATAGTACCATGAAATATACTCAAGTTAGAATAATTTTCATCAATTTCTTTGTATATATCTAAATTTTTATTTTCATATATAATAATATCATCATAATCAAATAGAATATTTTCATTTAATTGAATACTAAATTCTTTATTTTTTGTTTTATCATTTAACAATGTTAATTCATTTTTATCATCATCATCATCATCATTATATATTCTTAAGCTTTTCTCATTTGTTTGTTTTTTATTATCTATTTTTTCATTAGTAGTAAAATTATAAAAAATATGATCACCATTAAAAATAATGTCTTGTTTAAATATTTTCTCTTCAAAAATATTCGCAGTTCCATTATGATCTTCTAAATTTTTTGTTTTATTTTTGCTGAAAAAATTATACTTTTTTTTTCCTAAATATTTTTTAAAATTGAAAAAAATTAATTTAAAAATATTTAGGTTATTTTTACTATTAATGTTATATTTATCATCAAATCCTTTTTTATTGTTTTTTTCAGTCAAATTTAGAAACGAAGAATAATGAGACAATGCATCAATAGGTTTGTAAATAGATCCATTGGAATTATTGTATAAATATTCTCTTCTAATTTTTATAAATTTATAAATAGGAAATATTTTATATTCTAAATATAATCCAAAAGTTGCATCTATAATAATCTGAATAAAATATATAGAACATTCATCCATATCAATATTACATAAATATAATAAAATATTGCACCTAAAAATGAGTATGGATATAAAAATATTTACAGAATGAAGTATTACGGATCCACATAAAATACTAATTAAATCTTTTAAAAATGTAATAAATGATCTTCTAGGGTTTTCTAAAATATATTTCGTAAGTAATACACTTAGTGATACACATCCAATAAAAATCTGAACAATTATACCAAATTCTCCAGGTACTAAAAGGCACTGTTCTTTCATATTTAAAAGCTTTTTTTTTTTTTTTTTTTTCCTTATTATTCTTCCTAAAATAAATTATATTTATTTTAAATATTTTATATTAAAGAACAAATCATATTTAAAATTTAAAACATATAAATATAAAAACATATTCCCACTAAAATAGGAAATTCATTAGGAATTGTAAAGGAATTTTCTTTTATACCATCTAAAAAAATTATAATATATTTTCATTCCTCCATTATTATTATTTTTTTGTTTATTTAATTTTCCTTTTTTTTCTGCGTAATATCTTTAATAGAAATGAAAATTTACAAACAAAGAATGTATTCTATATAAATTTAAAAAAAAAAAAAAGATATTGTTTACAAGAACTATACAGAGTCAAAGTATAATGTAAATTTTTTGTTTATATTTTTAAATCGATATAAAAAAATACAAGAACGTGTGACTTTTTTTCTTAAATTGATAACTAAAAAATGTTGATAAAAATCAAGAGACACAAAAAAATTTTCTAAAATTGTTATGGAAGTATAATGAAATTCATATTTCAGTTAATTAAAATAAAGTTTTGCTCAACAGTATGCATATATATTTTTCATTATAATAAATAGCCAAACAAAAAAAAATAGGATAAAAAGTTTTACGACAGATTATTGAGTTTTATACTATTAAGCTTGCAACATGCAACAAAAAAAAAAACTTTGCACACGATAATACAAAAATCGGAAAAGAAACTTTTTTTTATTATTTAATATATTTTTCTATATAGTGATTTAAAGAGTTATATTGGTTAAAAAATTTTAAGTTTATAAAAAAAGAAACAAAATTTTTAGTTATTCAATTTTTACAATTAAAAAAATTCCTATAAAAAAATTATTTTACATTTTTATTTGTTTTCAATAAATATATTATAAAACAATAGTTTTTTAAGCAATAAATTTTTAATTATAATAAAAATTAGCTTATTAAAAAACTCAATTTAAAAATATTTTTTTGTATTTCATATCATGGATTATTTATATTTTTCTCATTCAAATTATCATTTATTTATATAAGGTCTTTAATTAAGATTTTATAAATATATATTTAAACCTTTTTTATTTTTTTTTTTTAAAATATTTATGTTGCGAAAAAGATAAAATATTTAGTGAACTCATATTCCTTTTCATTTAACAAATAAACAATTTTTTGTTAATAGTTGAATCTCTCATTATTTGTTTTTTATGATGTATGTATTTTATCTGATATAAAAAATTCTTTTGAATATAAGAAAATATCACATACAATACAAAAAAAAAAAAAAAAAAAAATTTAATATTATTACCTAGACAAAAATGTAGAATGTAAAACATTTAAATTAAAATTAAGTATGCATAATATTAAAATGGTGAATACATTTGTTCATTAACCAAAAATTTAACTTTATTTTTTAATATTCTGAATACTCAAATAACAAGTTTTTAATTTAATAAATTTTTATTATATATGAAAATATATTTATGAATGTAATATTCACGATGAATAACAGAAAGATATTATTTAAAATATTAATTTTAATGAAAATTTAAAATATATTCTTCTAAAAATTGGATTCCTATACAATTTAATAAAATATAAATTTTTTCATTTTTGTGAAAAAAAATAAAAATAATTTATTTATAATATATCAAATATTATAAATACATATGTTTTTGTTATAAAAGTTAATATAAATTATTTTTTTTTCTTAAAATTTGTATTAAAACTTTTCTGTATATTGGAATAAAGGCATAAATGGAAAATGTTTTAGCATATTTTAAAAGGAATAATTTATTAGAAGGCATGAAATTAAAAAAAATGCTGTATTTAAATTTCGTAAATTAAAAATTTTTTTCTTTAGTTTTTTGTTTTTTCATGTTATATAAATATTATATATATTTTGTAAAATAAATTTTTTTTTATATTCTATATTTTTAAAAATTTTTATGTAATTTTTTTTTTGGACTTAAAATATTTTTTGTCATAACATAATCTACAATATACTTATTTATATCATTTAAATTAAAAACAATACTTTTATTTATATTTCTTTTAAAAAAATAAAAATAAAAACAAAAAATAAATAATGAAAATAAATAGGATTAAAAGTTTGTAAATTAAAAAAAAAAAAAAAAAAAAAAAAAAAAAAGTAATGTTTTCATGAACACTTTGCTCTCCTTTTTAAAAGAGTTGATACAAATTAAAAAAAAAAAAAAATGAAGAAATAAGTGAAATGTATTTAAAAAAATTTAACATTTTTTTATTAATAAATTTTTTTTTTTTTTTTATATTAACACTTGATAAATTGTTAATATTCTCATATTTATGTATTTATATATACATATATATATGTATGTATATAAAAAAGTACTATATTACATATTTGTATAAAATATTTTATTTGTTTTTTATTTTATAAATTTTAATTTATTTGATTATATAATAAATATTTTTTATTTTAAGTTTTAAAAAATCTTGTTTAACATTGATTTTCTTTTTTTTATTTTTTCTTAGTAAACTTTAAATTAAATATAATTTTATTTTTATAATTTTATTTATTATTTTTTTTTAATTTTATCTGAAATGGTTAAATATGCCAAAAAATTAAGAGACCAAGGAAAATGTAATGATAATACATTAAAAATTATTTTCCTTTATATTCGATTGTGGATCATTAATTTATATTAAATGAAATATATTAATTTATTAAATATAATTAAAAATATATGTATTTCTTAAGTAATTTAATGCATACTTTACTTTTTTTTTTTTTTTTTTTTAAGGCGCGAGAGGCGCAGGTATAGATTTGAGAGTTCATTTTAAAAATACTTATGAAACAGCAAGAGCTATAAGAAGAATGAAGTTATTAGAAGCAAAAAAATATTTAAATGATGTTATTGAGAAAAAAAGATGCGTTCCTTTCCGTAAATATAATGGAGGAGTTGGTAGAACAAATCAAGCAAAAGAATTCAATCACACTCAAGGTAGATGGCCAGTTAAATCGTGTAAATTTCTTTTAAATGTTCTTGACAACGTGCAAGCAAATGCGGAGGTAATTTTAAATTATATATAGCATTTAAAAAAAATAAAGTATTTTTATTATTTTTTTTTTTTATGATGAAAAGATGACGAGTATGAAAAAATTAAGATTATTTATTATTATTATTAAATACGTGTTCTATGTATTTATTGATATTGATAAATATATTCTTAATTTTTCAATTATGATTATTTGAGGCATTTGACTGAAAAAATTAAAATAATAAAAATAATAGCTTTTTTTTAATTAATTTTTCCTTTTATTTTTTTAAAATTATGTTTTTTTTTTTTTTTTTTTTTTTTGTTTGTAAAATTAAGGGAAAATTATATAAAATATTATTCAAAAGTATTCATTGTTCCTTTTTATATTTTAATTATATAGAATATATAATATGAGCATAATTTTTTATTCCTACATTTTCATTTATATAATTATAAATATATTTTATTTTAAAAAATATCGATATTTTTTTAAATGTTTTAATAGTGAAATTTTTATAATGCATAGCATAAAAAAATATGCATATTAATACATAATAAATAAATTTCTGTATGTGTAATTTCAAAAAATATATATGTGCATATATTTTAATTTCTTCTGAACAGGCAAGAAACTTGGAAATAGGAAAATTAAGACTAATTCATGTAATGGTTAATAAGGCTCGTCCAGGAAGAAGAAGAACTTATAAAGCTCATGGTAGAATTAATCCATATATGTCATCTCCATGCCATATTCAAATAATTGCCAGAGAAATTACGAAACCTGCTAAAAAATCACTTTTATCAAGTTCAGAAAAGCAGAAAAAGCTACCTTTTAAAATTACATTAAAAAAATTAATAAAATTAAATATATCAAAACAAAATAAAAATAAAAATAAAAATATCAAAAAAACAGAAGCAAAATAATGATTATATTATTTTTTTTTTTTATTTTTCTAATTATAAATTAAGAAAAAAGAAAAAGTATCTTAGAAACATATAAAAAAATGAAAACATTAAAAAAAAATCAAATAAAATTAAAGTATAACAAAAAACTTTTTATGCACACGTTTAATGCTACGTTATGAAACTTTTCTGAAGCATTTGTTTTTTTATATAAAAAAGTTAATTTTTTGTGAATTCATATATATATATATGGAACAAGAAAAAAAAAAAAAAAAAAGAAAAAAACTAATAAGTAACTTTTTTGTTCTTTTCATAATTGACAAGCACATATTTATATATAATTTTACTTAAAAAAAGAGTATCTTTATATCTAATATTTTGCGTAAAATTAATTTTAAAAAGATAATTAAATGTTTGAAATGGTTATTATATAAAAAAATTTAAGTATAATTTTTTGAGTTGCCTGAAAACAATTATTTGAATAAAATAAAAAAGAATAAAAAACAGAATAAAATAATATATAAATAAAAAAAAAAAAAAAAAAAAGAATAATTAGAAGTGCTAGAAAAAGTTATTTCACATCTACGTTGTTATATATATTTTATATATTGAGCAAACAAAAAATTTTAAAAAAATGAAGCATTTTAGGAACAAAATATAGGAAGTAAAAAAATTTCTTAAGATTTTTATGATATTATATATAATTTTACATTAAAAAAATGTAAAAATTCTGTTTTATAAAAAAAAAAAAAAAAAAAAAAAAAAAAAAAAGATTATGAAACAAAATATGTTTTCTTTAAAAACTATTAAAATTTTTTTTTTTCATTTTTCGAAATTCCAAACTTTTTTATGATTAGAACATCCATACTACGAGTTATTACTTTAATTTTTTTATCTTTATTTTTTTTATTTTTTTTATGAAAAAAATATACCTTAACAAAATTTAAATTCTGAATTAATTTTTTCATATAATTAATTTTATATTTTTATTTAAAACTTTAATAATTAAAAAGAAGGTTTTTGAAATATACATTTTCTCTTTTACTATTTTTTCCTCTTTTAAAAGCATTTGAAAATATATATATCCAACTAAGATTTAATGCTTAAATTTTTTCTTTATATTCCTTTTTTTCCAGGTGTATGCCAGAAAATTACGTTTATTTATTTTTTAAACTTACATGTGTTATATTTTAATTATAAAATAATTACATATATATTATTTATTGTTTTAAAAATTATAATATTTCGTTATATTTAACTTAATAAATATTTTGTTATACATATAATTTTTTTTTGTTGAGCAATTATATCAATATACACATAAATTCAATTTTAAATCTTATTAAAAATGAATATAATATTAAGTATTGATCAGAGTACTCAATCCACTAAACTGGTTTTCTTTGATGAAGAATTAAATGTGCTTCATATGAATAACTTACCTCATGAACAGAAATGTTTTAAGCCTGGATGGTATGAACATGACCCAATAGAAATAATGGATAATTTATATAAATTAATGAATGAGGGTGCAAATTCATTAAAGGAAAAATATAAGAATATAGTTATAAAATGTATAGGTATTACTAACCAAAGGGAAACCGTCATAATATGGGATAAATTTACAGGAAAACCATTATATAATGCAATTGTGTGGTTAGATACTCGCGTTGAAGACATGGTTGCTGAATTTTCTGAAAAATACAATAATGATGATTTTCAGAAAAAAACTGGAACTTACTTCAATACTTACTTTAGTGCTTTTAAAATATTATGGTTAATTCAAAATAATGAAATAATAAAACAGAAAGTATCAGATGGTACAGCTATGATTGGAAATATAAATACATGGCTTATTTATAATTTAACCAAAGGTCAATGTTATACAGATGTCACAAATGCATCCAGAACATTGCTGATGGATATAAAAACGTTGCAGTGGGATGAAAAATTATGTAGAATATTTGGTATTACAAATATGAATTCTTTACCAGAAATAAAAAACAATTGTACAAATTTTGGACTAGTAAAAAATGAGCTAGTTCCTGATTATTTAAATGTTCCAATTACAGGATGCATCGGAGATCAACAAAGTGCATGTATAGGACAAGCTATATTTGATGAAGGAGAAGCCAAATGTACTTATGGAACTGGTGTTTTCCTCTTAATTAACACAGGAAATAAAATTGTATATTCATCTTGTGGATTAATTACTACAGTTTGTTATAAATTTAATGAAGATGATGAGCCAAATTATGCTCTTGAAGGTTCAATTGGTACTGCTGGATCTGGAGTTTCTTGGCTTATTAAAAATAATTTAATTAATGATCCATCTGATACAAATGATATTATGGAAAAATATGAAGACACAGGTGGTGTTACATTTGTTCCTGCCTTTAGTGGTTTATATGCTCCAAGGTGGAGACCAGATGCACGAGCATCTATCTGTGGTATGACTTTTAATACAGACAAAAATCAAATTGTTAGATCTTTATTAGAAGGCATTGTTTTTCAATTAAATGAAATTGTATATTCACTAATATCAGATATGGGTATAGAAATGCTACATGTTTTAAGGTGTGATGGAGGAATGACTAAAAATAAAGCCTTTATGCAATTTAATTCTGATATAATAAATACTAAAATTGAAGTATCTAAATATAAGGAAGTAACAGCTTTAGGAGCAGCGGTATTAGCAGGTTTAGGTGTAAAAATATGGAAAGATTTGGATTCTGTTAAAAGGCTATTAAGAGCTAGCGATTCTGTCTATCATTGTAAGATGGAAGATAAAAAAAGAAAAAAGAAAATTATAGAATGGAATAAGGCTGTTGAAAGAAATTTGTTGCATATGTGACATTTATAGGATCATTATTTTTTTTATAAATTTAAATAAATTATTTATTTTTATAGAAATAATATTATTAAATATAATTTAATAAATGCTTTATCTATTGCATTTTCCGTTGTCAATTTTTTTATTTAATTTTTCATTAAATATAAAAATAAATATGTACTTTTATTGCATGTCAATAATATTAACTATTTAACTTTATATTCTATTTTTTTTTTTTTTTTTAATTTATGATATAAAATTACAAGCATTTTTAGAACATATATAAAAGGAAAATATAAGCATTTTTAAAAAAAATTAAATGGGTTCTATTTTTATAGTGCCTTCTTTTTTCTAAATCATTTAGAACTTTTTTTGTCTAAATTTTATAATTTTTTTAAAAAAAAAAAATTTTATAATATTAATAAATATACTTAATAGTAATGTGTATATATTTATTTTCAAAAAAAAAAAAATTGCATATTTTTCTTATTCAAATGAACTATTTTATTTTTTTCCTGTGAATATAACTTTATGTTGTATATTAATTTATTTTTTCTTAAAAGTTGTTTTCAACAAGAGTTTCTCTTTATATTTTTATTATATTTTTTTTTATTTGTTTTTTAAATGAGTAATTATTACAACTAATTAAATATTAATTCTAAAATTATTATATAAATTACATAATTGTATCATCTAAGATATTCATAATTATTCTTTATCATATATTTATATATTTTATATAAATAAAATGATAAAAGAATACACGTTTTTAAAGAGTTAATGTCTTTATATGTTTTAATCAGATTTTTACAAATGAAAGTAGTATCATATATATTTTTATCATTTAAGTTATTAAATGTAAGTCTAATTTTAATTGCATTTTTTTTACTTCTCTTTTTAGTTTTTAGTTATGAAAAAATTTCTGTATAGTTATAATTTTGGATATATAATTTTTTGTTTTTTTTATTTGAATGGTGTGTGTAAAAATTTAAATAAAAATTAACATTTAACTGTAATAATGATTATACAAATACTTGAAAATATTAAAAAATAATAATTTTTATATCTTATAATAAATATTAAAAATAGTTCTGATATCACAAAAAATAAATGAAATAAAATTTTTTTATTATTTTAGAAACAGAAAATCATTATATGTTCTGAATCATAAAATGGCAGAAATATTTAAGAGAAATTAGCAAAGTATTAATAAAATATTTTTTTATGAGCACATTTTCCTTCATTCTTAATTTTTATGAAAAAAAAAATAATCAATGATATAAAACCAATGTAATATTAAATTTGGAACGGGAAATTTCAGGAAAAATGAAAAAACACACTTTTTAATATATATATATATATATATATTACATACAAATATTAACACAATTTCATTATGAATTATTTGAATATATATACTTGTAAAATATTATATATACATTTTTCTATATTTTATTATACCATTTAAATGAAAAAAGAAATAAAAAAAAAAAAAAAAAAAGAGTAAAAATAGCTACCAAGCCAAAACCATATTAATACTCATTATTTTACTTTTTTTTTCCATGCACACCTAATTATTATCTTTTTAATTTGTATTTTTATTTTATTTAATTTTTTTTTTTTATTTTTTTTTTTTAATTATTTTTTTCTTTAATAAATTGAATGACCATTGAGGTTATATCTGTTTACTTAACGTGATCAATTTTATGCAACATCCCCAATCTGTTTTTTTTGTTCCATCAGAACAAAATTTTTTTTTTTCCCCTTTTAAATAATTACTAACATTTATTAAATTTCATTAATAATACTTATAAAAAGATAGTTAAAAAAAAATTTTTTTTTTTTTTTTGTACAAAGATAAATTTATATGAAATATTAATAAAATATTGAAAAAAATATATTTAAGATGCACAAGTATAAAACCATTAAAAAAAAATTTACATATATAGATAACTGTAAAAAAGTTTAAAATTTAGTTAGCTTTCGATTCTTCTCATCTTACAGTTGAATATTTATTTTTCTAAAGATAGGTTTATTTTTTTTTTATCAAATTTTTTTTTTTTTTACAACTATTTACAATAATATTTAGCATTTTTTTTTATGAACCAGTTATAATTTTAATTGTGTGTATTATTAGCTATTTTACTTATAAAACATTAAAAAACATATAAAAATATATATATATATATTTATATAAAATTTTAATTTTTAATAAAAACAAGGCAATAGGCTAAATTTTAAAATATTTTATTATTATCTGTTTTTTCATATATTTGTTCTTATTTTCCAAAAAAAAAAAAAATCATAATTTTTACATCTTTTATTAGTAAAAATATCCTTTTATTAAATTTGTTTATGTTATTTTTTACATTTATATACGAACTTCTAAAAAAAAAATTATGTTTTTTTGTTTATTTTTTATTATATTTTATTTTTTTTTTTCTTTAATATTTTTAAATATAGCAACATATTACTAGCTGATAGGAAATATTTTTGTGCTACTGGTATAATATTTTATAGAGAATAGTCTTAGTCTCTAAATATATGAAAAAATTAGACATGAAATAAAAGAAATAAACCTACAATTTTTTCAAAATTAAAGATATTTGTTTATTTTAATATATATATACATTGATAATATATTTTAATGTTTAAAATAATAGTCAAATACTAAATATTTTATCAATATGCTGAAAAGTACAACAAAAACTGATAGCACAAAGCGAGATCAAGTAATTTTTTGATTTTTTCTTTTTTTTAAATGTGTATCTAATTTTTTTTTTTTATAAATTTACATATATTTTTTAAGTACATTTAATTTTTTTTTTTTTTTACAGAATAGGAAATTATTACAAAAAAAATTATCGAAAGATTCTGTTACATCTACGAAATTTTGTGTAAAATAGAAAATTTTTTTTATTTATTTACCTTTACACCTTGATTAATTTTTTTAAAACAATTAATTATTCAAAATTTTGAAAAGAATATTTGTTATATGAAAATCTATAAATTTTTTTTAAATAAATTATATAAAATATATTATTTTTTGTTATAATTCTTTATAATTTATTTTTAACAATCGAATAATATAGATACATAATTATATATATTTTATTTTTCAGGATTCTTCTGAGGAGAGAGAAGCCGGATCAAATACTAGTAGTAACGTTAGTATAAAAATATTGGAAAAATTAAATAATACGAGAAATTTAAATGCTAATAATACAGATTCATTTATATATGATATAAAAACATCTTCTAACGTCAATTATAAAAAAATAGATAAAAATAATTCACAAGAATTAAATAGTACTAACATATTAAATAAAGTAGACAATACAAGTACTTGTAGTGTAATTCCAGAAAAAGCTAAAAGAAGCGATAGGCATTCAGATGAAAATAATATTTCTAGTAAATTAAATAGTAACAAAATTAAAGGAGATATTAATAATCAGGAAAATATTATAAACATTCAAACATCAAGAATCAATAACGATATTTTAAATACTGAAAAAAATAATAAAACAAATTTAAATAAAGCATTGTATGTATCGAGTGATCCAAAAAATATATCTCATACAATTACTTTTAGAGATAATTCAACAAAAGACGAAAATAATATATATTATAATCCTAATAATAATTCGCATTTTTATTCAGATAATAAATCAAAACATTTCGCACATAACTTTAATTCTAATACAACTGATTTTTTAAGTTCTTACTCTAACAATAATTTTAATTCTTATATTGATAACAATTTGAGCTCTTATGTCAATAATAGTTTGAATTCTTATGCAAACAATAATTTTAATTATTATACAAGTAATAATTTAAATTCTTATTCAAATAAAAATATTATTATTGATCAAAAATTAAGAAGTCCTTTTCCATATTTAAGTAATTTTGAGTGTACAAGTAAAAGACTAGATACATTTAATACATCTTTAGATACAAATTGTGACCCTAATATATCAAATGAAATGGATTTTTTAAATATGTATAGTAGTCATACTCCTATGGGTAGTAATAATTCAAACATTCTTGATTCTTCCCAGTATATGAATGGTAATCCGTATAGTCCTGACAATAGTTATTTTAATAGCACCAGCTACAATATAACATCAGAAGTTGGTAATTATAATAATATAGTTGATAAAAATATTTGTGATAATAATGTAAGTTCAACTTCTTACTTCACTAATGATAAAAAAAGCAATGATGGTAAAATAGAGGAAACTTCGAATTACATTGATCATAAATATAACAATATTACAGATAAATCTTTAATAAATAATGACATTTTTAAATCAAAACCAATTAGAGAAAATGAGCTTGTTAGAAATGATGTTTCGTATTCTGAAAAAATTAGCTCTCATACCGATTATTCTAGAGCAAAGCATAGTTCTCATGTTATAGACAAACGAATAGTTCATGAAGGATTTGATACAATAAAAATTCCGAAGTACCGAGAAGTGGAAGTTGTGGAAAAAATTGTTGAAGTTCCTGTAGTTCACAAGGTTAATAAATATATAAATAAATATGAAATTAAAGAAGTTGAAAAGATGGTTAAAAAACCAATAAAAAAATATGTAGAAACAAAAATTGAAGTTCCAGAATTGCATTTTCAAGATAAAATAGTAGAAGTTCCAGAATTACAAGAGATTGTAAAAATTGTGGAAAAACCAGAAATAAAGGAAAGAATAATATACAAGAATAGAGTTGAGACAAAAATAATACCAAAATATATTGAGGTTCCTGTTGTAAAAATAGTTAACAGGTATGAAGAATATGATGATATAGGAGAAGTTATAAAAACAGTGCCTGTAAAAAAAATCGTAGAAATACCAAATGAAGTAATAAAACAAGTTAAAATTCCAGTAAGAAAAATAATAGAAAAACCTAATTATGTACCTATAATTAAATATCGTGATGTCCCAATAGAGAAAATAAGATATGTTCCTAAAATACAAACAGTTGAATTAGTAAAGACTATACCTAAAATAATAGATGTACCAGTTCCAGTTAAAGTACCTAAAATTAAAATTATAGATAAGCCATATTACATAAATAAATATATTGATAAACCTGTAGTTGTACCTGTTTCAAAGAGAATTAAGCCAATATATAAATATGAAGGTAAAAAAATAATAGAAGTACCAATCCACAAGCCATATATTGTAACACATGACACTGTTATTTCTAAGAATATTGAAAATAATATAACTACTGGTAAGTGCTCAGTATATACAAAAAAGTTGGATCTAAATTCTCTTAGTCCAATGAAAAGAAATGAATTATTTAATATTGTAAATACAAATAACTTTAATTTGCAAAGATCAATGAGTGTAGATAACATTTTCAACAATCAAAATTTTAGTAATAATAATTTATTTAATAATATGAATATCAACGAAAATAAAGAGAATAATAAACCTTTATCGAACGTATTTTCGAAATTTGATTATAATGAAGGTCAACAATTCTTAAGTAAAAACAATTTAAATTGTTTAAAATTTTCAAAGAGCTTAAACAACAACATAAATATGAACGAAAACAATTTAAACTCTATAGAAAATAATAGTTATTTAAATAATTCAATAAAAGAAGCAAATATATTTTCTTCAAATGAAATGAATGATCCTAGCAGTATGCAAAAATTGGTATGTAACAATAATAGCTTACCTAGAAATTATAGTTCAATTAATCCGTTAGTTAATAATGCCCATAAATCAGGGCAAGTTTCTACTTTTGAAGATTCCAAATATGGCTTGAATTTTCAAAAAAACATAAATAACCAAAGCTTACCATTTCCAAAAAGTACTCGTAACAGTGTTGCATATATGAATGACATAAACAATTTAGGTTCCACATATTATGTTGAAAATTGTAATAATATTTCGGATATGAATAAATTACCAAACCAAATTAACAGTAATATGAACAAATTTGAAGATACATGTTTAAATAGATATAAATCGAAATTTTTTTCAAATATTCCTTATGAAGATTATGGAAATTCTAACAATTTAAATAATTTTCATGGTATTAGAAATAACAATATGATGAGATCAAGCAGTCCCAGTGTTTGTTCTGCTGATGGAATCAGCGCTTATGTTGTTGAGTACGTTGGTGACCAAAATAGAAAAGTTAGTGATTCCGCTTTTTCTAAAGGGTTAAATAATGATTTTACAGAAGAAATTGGTAGCAATTATTCTTTTAGTGGAACACTAATTAATTCAACAAACGAATAACTTAAGAATAAATAAAATTTTATATATGACAAAACAAAAATGGACAATTTTAGTAATACTGCAACCTCACATGTAAAATTAACATTTAAAAAAATTACCATTATGCTATATATTTTGACATAATTTAATTATTTTTTTTTTTAAAATCATTTAATTATCAAAGAATATAATACTAAAAAAGGAGTTAAATGTATTAAAAATTATAGTTTATTTATACAGTATAATTATGAAGATTTCCATTAACTTCTTGAAATTTATTTTTATTTTTTAATTACATGAAATATACTTTTGTTAAAAACATAAAACTACATAAAAAAAAATATTATAAAATAAGATAAATCTACTATTTTATAGATAAAAAAAGTGCATATGTTTTTAAAATTTTATTTAATGAAAAAGGGGAAGAAAATAATTTTACTACAAAAATAAGGAATAATATTAAATAACTTTTAATAGTTTGATTCTTTTAAATATATTGTTTTGAAGAAATGAAAAGATCCTAAAAAATTTACACAATTTAATTATATACATTAAATAATTACAAAGAATAAGCTATTAAAAAGACATTTTAATTAAACTAAGAAAATTAGATCATAATAAATAACAAAAATGTTTCGATTTTTTCTTTTACCGTTTCTTTAAGAGACTGATCAATTTATTTTTTTTTTTTTTTTTTTTAATCACATTTATTTATTTTTTTTTGGCTTTTACATTTTTTATTTTTTACAAAAAAAAACTTTTATTTGTTCATTTGAAAACATTAATATCTTAATATTCGTTTATATTCACATATAATTAGCATTTTTTTCCATGTTTATTAATTATTAAAAATTTTAAATATTTTTTAAGAATACTTTATTTGTTTATTATTATTTAAATTTGATAATAAATTTACATGCACTATATATATTATGGCTCATAAAATTTTTTCCTTTTAAATTGTAAAAACATAAAAATTATTTTTTTTTTACCACTATAAAAAAAAAAAAAAAAATAATCATAAATAAATAAAGCTATAAGTAGATTAAAAGAATAATAATGTTTTTATTATAATTAAAAGTTATACAAAATAAAATACCTTTAAGTAAATAAAAAATATAAAATAATTATTAATAACAAACAGCTTACTGAAAATGAAGCCCATATATTTTTAAACTAAATTGCATGCTTATTAAATATTTTTATTACTTTTTGCTTATTATTAATTTTAGTACCTTTTAATCTTTTTTATTAAAATGAAGGACATGAGATTTTTGTTTTTTTCTATAATTGTTTGTTCTGTATGTGCATTTTGTTTTAGGCAACACAAGAATGGTATATTTTTTTATTGAATTAAATAACATCTCCTTAAATTTTTTTTATATATGTTATTTATAGTAAAAATAGAAAAGTTGTAATATTTAATTTTTAAAAAATAAATTAAATAATAAAAATAATAATAAATTAGTATATATATACATAAAATTTTGAAAAAAATAAGAAAAAAAAAGTTACATATATTTTTTTCTTATACATAACATATAAATATGAAACTTTTTTTTATCATTTTAGCTATTTTTTTTTTAGGATTTGTGCAAAATGAAAATAAAAAACCGTTTAATAGGAATAGATTAAGACCGTTACATGTTGTTAGTACGTATAAAGAATTATTAATTAAATTAAATCGTGATCAATCAGATAGTTATGTAATATCACTTTATTATAGTACATTATGCACATATTGCAACAAAGTAACAAATTTTTTAGAAAAAAACAAAAATATTGAAATTATTAAAAATTATGAAAAAAGCAAATTAGAAGAAGTATCAAAAACTAATAAACCAATAGTTGTTTTATTAAAAAATATAAACAAAGAAAATTCATATGATAGAAGTGAATTTTATTATGAATTAAAAATAAAAGGAAATAAATTTCAAGTACCAGCAGTGGAAATAAATGATTGTATTATGTTTGAATCTAATGATATAATTAAGTTATTTGAGTTTTTGTTAAATAAAATAAAAAAATAAAAAATGGATTAAAGAAAGGGGTTATCATCGAATTAAATTTAAATAATTACAAAAAGTTGAAGGAATATTATTAATATAATTTTTAAATGATTTAAAAAAAAAAAAAAAAAAAAAAAAAAAGAATAACAATAATAAAACATTATATATAAATATTTCTGAAATACATAATAAAAATCAGATTTACAAAAAAATAATTGGTGGAATTTATATTTAATGAAGAAAAGGATAACATTTATAATGAAGTGACAAATTAAAATATGGTAAATACTAATTGCAACGTCATATATATTAACAGAACAAATAAAATTAATTTATTTTAGAGTATTTAAGAGTATTTTTTGATTTAAAAATGAGGTTTATAGTAATTTATAATATTATTAAAGGTGGATAACGATTTTACATATTATTATATTGTTATGGTAACCTAAGTATAAATAGTTTATACAATATTTTAGAACCTTATAAAGATGGAAGTTTTAATGATAAATGTAAAAATAAAAGTTCTACTTCTTAATGCTTTTTTCGATGTAAATATTTAGAGTTATTTCAAAATTTTTAATTTTTATATACAAATTATATATATATTTTAGAATATATTCCTTTTACAAGAAAACATAATACTCTTAATTTTAGCTTGAGAGATACATTTTTATCAAATAAAAAAAAAAAAATTTATAGAATCAAAAACATAAAAAATTATAAAATAAAATTGAAAAGGAATAGTAAGTTAATAATTATTCAAGAAAAAATAATGATAAATATAATTTTTAAGAATTAATTAATTAATTGAATCCTTTATCATTTTAACAAAATTCATTTATAAAGAACTTTAATTTTTATATTTTATATTATTATCATTAATTATAATTAATTAAAATATATTGTCAAAATTTTAAAATTTACATATTATTTTTAAATTTACACCATTTTCTTTATATTTTAATTTTTATATTTATTATTAATATTTTTATTATTTGTTCAATAATTTACTCAAATATATTTTTTCATGTTAATATTACTACTCATAAAAAATAATATAATATTATATTTTTTATGAGAAATTTACATTTTTTGTAATTAAATTCATCTTTTCTTTGTTAATTTAATTTATATATATATATATATTTTTTATAATATTTTTTTAATTTTAAAACTGCAAACACTAAAAAGTTAATATAATTAATAAAAAAAAAACTAATGCAAAAATACAAGCCATATTACAAAAATTATAAAAACAGAAAAAAAAAAAAAAAGTATAAGCATTTACAAAAAGAGCGATAGCTTAGAATTTAACAAAAAAGATATATAACGGGAACAATTTAAAAAAAAAGTTAACTTATTTTAATTTACCATCCATATTTTTCATTAGTTGTTCTTCTTTTATTGTAATTAGTTTTTTGCAAAATTTCGTATTCTTTTTCAACTGCTTCCTTAGCTAACCAATTTATTTGATGTTTTCGTTTTTGATTTTTCCCATGAATAATAACTTTATCAAAAGTATTATTAATTGGATTATAAACTTTTGTCTTTATATTATATTTTTTACTTTTTTTTTCTTCTTGTGTTATATTAGGTTTCCATCCACTTAGTATTTTACTTTGATCTATTATAGGAATATTTGCTAAATCTACGTTCAACTCTTTTTTTTTAGAAAATCCCAAACCATTATAAATATTTTCAGATTTATTAGTTACGTTAATATTATTTGTATGTAGTAATGAATTATTATTCATATCATAACTTAACAGATTATTATTTAAATTATTGTATAGATAATTATTATTTTCATACATATTATATGGGTAGTTCATATAAATATTATTTATATTATTAATTGGTAATTTATTGTATTCGTGAATATGTGAATAATTTTTATTATGTACTACATTATTTCCTTCATTCATAAAGCCTATATTTGTATTAGTATTAAAATTGTCATTTTTACTTTCATAGTTTTCATTTATTTCACTCAGATTTTTCAATGAAATTTTGTTTTCATTGATATATTTTCTTTGTGTATTGCATTCATTTGCGCCTTCTTGACTGCAATCATTTTTTATAGGTTCTTTTTCATTACTAATTTTTATATTATTTTTAATTTCATCTTTATTTATGCTTTCATTATTAGGATTTCTTTCATTTTTAATCTCAATCACTTTTTTACCTTTGTTATCAGTTTTTTTTTCATTCATAATTTCACTGATTTGTTCATTTTCACAACTAACTTTACTTAAATTTTTGATTTCATTTTTATTTTCGATAATTTTTTCTTCATTTATGTTTTTGTAACTACATTCATTTGTATTTTCTTCTTTACTACTATGTTTGTTTATTATTTGATTCTTCTCTTCAATATTTCCTTCACTTTCCTCTTCACTTGAATAATATAATCCTAGCAAATTTCCTAAATTTTGTTTTAATTGGGAATTATTAGAATTTGAATGAACTGAAGAGTTATAACTTTCTTTATTTTTTAATTCTGTTTTTTCTTGATTCTTAACTTCATTTTTAAATCCTTCATTTTCTTTATTTTTTTCTTCAGTATGTAAATTTAAAGCATTCGTGTTATTTTTTAACTGTTTTTCATACTTCATTTTTTTTTTATTTTATCAATGACTGAAGCAAATATTATTATATAAATTTTTACTCATAATTTTTTATTAATAATTTTTTTATGAAAATTTTTTGAAATTTTTTTTTTTAATGAACTTTTATATTTTTTAAGAACGTTTAAAAATTTATTTTTATTTGAATTAAAATGTTTTTGAAAATTGTTATTTTTCTTTTAATAAACATTTTTATTTACACAAAATGTAATTCGTATATTTTAAAAAATAATTACTTTCAAAATTTGTTTTTTATAAATAATATAAATAGTTTATATAATAGCAGAGAATGCAAAACATTTCGTAATAAAAAGTTAGTTTTAAAATCAAATAAAAAAAGAAAGAAAGAAAAAAGTTTTAATAAATGCTTTCTTTTAAACAAAAAACATTGTGGTATTTATTGGAAATATAAAACAAAAAAATGGAAAATTTTAAGTAATTTTGATAAAATTTTTAAGGAATCATTTAATGAAGATGATAGATTAAAAAAAAGTGAGCTGATTTCTATTTTGGCTTGTATTTGCACAAACATAGTTATTGAATATTTAAAAATAAAAGAAGAAAAAAAAAATGAAAATTTTCAGTATACTTTTGATTACGATGTTATGAACATATTAAAAATGGTTAACTTTGAATATGATGTTAATGAAGAAATTAAAAAAAAGAAAAAAAAAAGTTACAAAAAGGAAAAAGCAAAAAAAAACATTCCTAATTGTAAATTAAATAAAGAATACTTTATAAATAATGAAGAAGAAGTATATAAAGAATCAGAAGAATTAAATATAAATATAGATAATAAAAATTCAAAAGAAGAAAATGAAGAATTAGATAAATATATAAAAAAAATAGAAAATAATACAATGGAGATAAGCGAAATTAATCATTATATTGACTTATTTTTTGGAAAAAATACATATAATAACATATTTGTGAAATTTAATATAGATATATATAAAATATACAATATACTGAATTCAGTTTTATTTGAAAAATCAAAGGAAAAAGAGAATGTAATGCAATTACAAAAGTTCGTTGAACAAGAAGAAAATAAACTATATAAAAAAAAAATAAATGTACGAAATGTTAATTCATTTAACGACTATTTAGATAAATTTAATTCTTTAGAAGAACAAAAGAATATTAATGAAATTGAAAATATATTATATGATGATGATACTCCAAAGTGTTTTAAAACATCCAAAAGAAAAAAAAATTCAGGATTTAATAAAAAATCAAATTTAAAAAAAAATAAAAACAAAATGAATGGAAGAAATTTTCAGCATATTATAGCTAATGAAGAAGAAAAAAATGATGAAAATAATAGAGATAATCAAGATGATGATCAGGATAACAATGATGAAAATAATAGAGATAATCAAGATGATGATCAGGATAACAATGATGAAAATAATAGAGATAATCAAGATAATTATCAAGATTACAATAATGAAAATAATAGAGATAATCAAGATGATGATCAGTATAACAATAATGAAAATAATAGAGATAATCAAGACATTAATTACCAGAATGGTGATAATAATAGAGATAATCAAGATAATGATAAGTATAACAATGATGAAAATAATAGAGATAATCAAGATTATGATCAGTATAACAATAATGAAAATAATAGAGATAATCAAGATTATGATCAGTATAACAATAATGAAAATAATAGAGATAATCAAGACAATAATTGCCAAAATGGTGATAATATAATTAATGGAAATATCAATGAATATAAAGTAAATGAAGAAAATAACATGTATGAAAATTCAAATCATAAAAATGATAAAAATAAAAATTTTTCTAACGAAAATGATTATGAAAAACATAAAGATAATCATGAAAATAAAAGAGGATTTTTAAATAGCATTTCATATGCTTTAATCAAAAAAAATAATATAGAAAATGATAATGATGAAGAAAAAAAGGAAGGAAAAAATAATATAATATTAATAAAATTTTTTTATGAAAATATATATAAATGTGAATTTCGTACAGATATAGGAGTAATAGTGTATGATTCAGGAATGCATAATTTTATAGATGAAATAAAAATAAAAGATGTAAATATGGATAATAAATATTTAAATAAAGATAAAATAAATATTGAAGATTTTGTAAATAATATGAATTTTGAAAAATTATGCTCATTACCTTATAAAAAGAGATTTTATAAGAAACAAAGTATAATTAAAGAAATAAATAATAAAATTGATTTCAATAATTTACATGATGAATATTTAAGTAGTTTATTATATATTTACTTAAAAATATGGGGGGATGATTTACATTTTTATGAATTAAAAAAGGTAGATATAAAATATTTTAATAAAGAAAAAGATGAATTAGAATATAACAAAAAGGACAATTTTTTAATTAATTATGATGAAAAAAAAAATATGTTGATTGACAGTGATTTATACAATCAAATTATACATAAAAATACAGGAGAGAAGAAAAAATACTTTTATAACCTATTTGATGATACATTTTTATCTAATGATTATATTTCCTTTAATTTAAAATTATTTATCAATAATAAAAAGGAAATTAATAACTATGATACTTTAATGAATACATTGAAATTGTATAACTCAAGTTTAAGTAGAAGTATACAATATTATTTAAGTACAATAAATGAACATAACTTTTCTTTTGTGTCTTCTGAAGAATTTTTAAAAAATTATATTTATAATGAAAATGATGAATTTTTTAATTTTAAAAAAATTTTACATAAATGTAAAACAGAAAGTAAATACATTCATTTGTTTTTAAACTCAAAAAAGAAAAAAAAAAACAACAAAAATTTTAAATTATTTTGTTTTCATGAAACCTCTTTTATGAGCAGAAATTTTTTTTTTCTGAAGAGAAAATATAATATATTTGAAAATAAAATATATAATAAATTTCTTGGTGATATTAAAAATTATTCTATATCTGTATATTCAAAGAAAAAAAAAAGAATTGAAAATGGCTGTGAAAATTTTATATTTGATCCTGTTGATGAGTTAGAAGAAGAATTAATAAACTTTGAAGAAATAAATAATATCTTAGATTTAAAAGGGGAAAAAAATGAAATGAATACTAATGAAACAAAACTAAATGATAATACATTACCATTAAAAAATATAAGTAAAAAAGAAGAGGAGGAAAATAATTTAAATGTAATTAATTCATCGAAAAATATTTATATAGAAAAAATGATAGAAAAACAAAAAAAAACAAATGATTTTTTAAATTTGGTAAAATTAAATGAAGATGTAAAAAAAAATCTTAATATTGTAAATTATGAAGAAGCTTTAAAATATTTTAAAGAGGAATTAAAAAATAAACAAAAACAAAAAGGAAAAACTAGTGAAACTAATAATGTTAATAATGAAGATGAAAGAGACAATGAAATTAAAGATAAGGAAATTGATAGATATATTAATTTAATTTTAGAGAATAAAAATAATAATATAATAAATAAAGAAAATGATGAGATAAAAGATGATAAATTAAATAAAGAAAAAGAAAAGGTTGAAGATTTTTTTAAAAGTATGGACGTAAAAGTTAAATTAAGTAAAAATACTTGTGTAGGTTGTGGTATTATGTTTCAGTCAACTTATAAAGATAAATTTGGATTTTTGAAAAATCATATTTATGAAAAAGTTGTAAATAAAGATGAAGATTTGGATAAAAAAAAGTTATTACATGATATTTATGATGAACATAAAGAAAATCAAGATGATCTAATAAATTACAAAAATAAATTAAATGAATTTTTCAGTTTTAGAGGAGAAAATATTAACAATATTTTTGAAAATAATAAAAATAGTAATAATGACAAAACTAATATTAATGATAATAGGGAAAATGAGAATATCCATTTTTATGACTTGAATAAAAATTCCATATTAAAAGAAAGTTATGAAGAAGAGGATAATAATGAAAATCCTTATATATGTGAAAGATGTTTTAATTTAAAGTATAAAAACAAAATATATAATAATTTAATAGTTAATTACACTAATAATAATGAAATTAGTGCACATGATTTCGAAAAGTATGTTATAAATATTTTTAAAAAAAGATGCTGTATTATATATATTGTTGACATATTAGATTTATATGTCTACTCCAATTTAAATAAATTGTATAATATTTATAAGAAAATCCACTACGATAAAGGTAAGGTTGAAGGATTTTATTTTTGTGTAAATAAAATAGATCTACTAAAGGACTACAAAGAATTTACCATTAAAAACTACATTTATAGTTTTCTAAAAAGTAATAAAATAAATGTGTTATTTAAAAATATATTTTTAGTAAGTGCAAAAACAGGATACAATGTAAAAAAATTAATATACACTGTATACATGAATAGTAAGAAAGTTATTAAAAAAAAAAAAAAGAATAATAACAATGAAAAGCTTATTAAAAGAAATGAGACAAACGAATATAATACTAATGATTTAAAAGAGGAAGAAAATGATTTTGAGAATCCGATAGGTTATGATGAAGAAAAAGAAAATTCAAAAGACTTTATGAAAAAAAACAACAAAAAAAATTATGGTGTAAAAAATTTAAATATATATATTGTTGGAAACGCTAATAGTGGAAAATCATCATTAATAAATTATTTACTAAAAAATATTAAAAAAAAAGAAAAAAATTTCTCAATTAGCAATAGTATTATACCGGGAACAACCCTAAAAAACATTCAGATTAAATTAAACAAAAATTTAACTATTAATGACACACCAGGAATAATTTCTAACAATTCTATTTTATCGCACTTAAATTTTGAAGAATTGAAATATGTAGTTTGTACTAAACTAAAAAAAAAAATACCTTCCATGTATATAAATGAAAATGATTACATTTTTGTTGGTGGTATTTTATATATTCATATTTTAAATATTCAAAAATATTATTCAATTATTTCTTTTTTTATTTCTGACAAAATTCCAGTAATAAAACGAAAGAAATTTTCGAAAGATCCTAATGTTTTTCTTCGAGAAAAAATAAAAAGCGGATTTCTTTATCCTCCTTTTTCAGTTGAAAGATTTGACGAAATTAATGACTTTAAAAAATATTATTTTAACTTAAATAATACTAACAATGATAGTGATAATAGTAGTTATGATATACATATACAGGGTATGGGCTATATTACATTTTATTCATTTCGTAGTATTGAATTTAATTTATACACATTAAAAAACGTTGAAGTTGTTTCAAGAAGTTCTTTATTGCCTTATCATAAAAAATATGGAAATTTGGATTTTTCCAAAAAAATGTTATGACTGCAATATGTAAAAATAAAATGGTTTACTTAAATGAAAAAAATAAAATAAAATAAAAATAGATAATATGTTTACTTTTAAGTATTTTTTCTATACTACATATTTGTTTCCCCTTTATTTTTTTTTTTTTAATTTTGTTAAATATATAAATAAAATTAACAACTTTATTTGTTTTTTTTCTTTTTAACTTAATTATTATTATAAAAATTATTTTAAAAAATTTATATATTGTTATTTTTTCAAGTAATACCAGTATGAAAAAGATAAATATTGAAAAATATAAATTTAAGATAAACAGAAAAAATTGTAGGGAATAAAATGCAATATTAATTAAACATCACAAATATAAATTGTATATAAAGATAATCTAAAAAAATTATAAATAAAATAAATATATATTATTATAAATAATTCATATAAAATTGAAAATAAGAAAAAAAGAAAAAGCAAAATATTTTTATGTCAAAAAAAAAAAAAAAAAAAGGCAAATAAACTATATAAAATTTAATTAAAAATTACAATATTTATATTAACAAAAAATCGAAACGTAAAATAAAATAACATTAAAATTCAAAGAATAAATAAAGAGTAAAATAAAAAAGAGAATGTAATGAGTTTTCTTTTCTCATAAAATTCTATTGTTTTTTGAATTGTAATACTCTTTATATAATGAATTGTTATCAATTAGTTCTTGATGACTACCTACATATATATTTTTTCCACAAAAAAATATGATTTTGTTCATATTTTTAAGATTTTCCATTGTATGGGTAATAATAATAGTTGTTTTACCCATACATAATTTATTTAAGGCTTTTTCTATAGATTTTTTATTTTCGTTATCTAAATTGCTTGCATGTTCATCTAAAACAATTATTTTTGAATTTTTTAAAAAACATCTGGCTATACATATTCTTTGTTTTTCTCCAATTGATAATTTGGTACCTCTTTCACCAACAATTGTATCATATTTATTTTCCATTTTTAAAATTTTATCATGCAATTCTGATTTAATAGATGCTTCAATCATTTCTTCGTTGGAACAATGAAAATTACCATATTTAATATTATAAGAAATAGTGTTATTAAATAAAATAGTATCTTGTGGAACAACGCATATGCTTTTTCTTAGTGTGTATAAATTTATATTATCTATGTTTTTATTATCAATGTATATATTTCCACCATTTAATTCATAAAATTTTAATAATAATTTAATCAAGCTACTTTTACCTGAACCGCTTTTTCCTATTACAGCTACTTTTTCTCCATCTTCAATACGACATGTAAAATTTTCAAACAAATAATTATTTTCTTTTAAATTAATTCCAATATTTTTTTTTATTTCATGGTTCAAATTATTTTTTATTTCATTACTCATATTTTTTATATCATCACTATATATATTATTCTCGCTCTTATTTTTTAGCATGCATTTTTCTTTAAATTTTTTTAAAAAAATTTTCGTGTTATTAAACAATGTTTTAATTATGTTATTTTTTGTCTTACCATTTTTTTCTTCTGATTCTTTGGTATTCTCTAATAACGGGTATCTAAAGTAAACATTTTCAAATTTGATAAGACCATTTTGGATATCCATTTTACTACCATAGTCTACTGATTTAATTTTCTTTGCTAAAATTTTAATCATACATTCTATGTCAACCAAACTCAATTTTGTTTCTCTGTATATCGTACCAAACATGTTTAGTGGTATAGCTAATTGAAATAACAGTGTGTTGACTAACACCAAGTAACTAAAAGGAAAAACGTCATTTGAAATATTCAAATATGTTAAATATAAGCAAAGAAATAAATTGAAATTTAATATAATTTGTTGACCAAAATTTAAAAAAGACAAAGATTTTTGAACATTTACAGCTTCTTTTTCATATTTTTTCTGCTCTTTCAAAAATTTTTTTAGTTCATGTATTTCATTTGTATAATATTTAACTTGTTCAATATTTTGTATAGAGTCCAAAAATATATTGAACGTATTTTGTTCGGCTTTATTCATATTTTTTCTAATAATAGTTCTCCTTTTAGTTACTAAAGTTGTAAAAATAATATATAGCAACATATTCAAGCATGTAACAATGGAAACACTATAATGTATTTTATAAGTCAATATATATAAATACAAAACAAATTCTATAATTATTGGAATTATTTGAAAAACTATAACATTTAATAGATTTGTAATACTCTTGCATCCTCTGTTAAATATAAATGATAGTTCCCCATTTTTTTTTGATAAAATATAACTTAAATCCAAGCTATGAATTTTATAAAAAAAAAGTTTACTTACATATGTTGAAATTCTTTGACTTATATTATTAAAAACACTATTTCTTAATTCATTTAAACTGGATGATATAACACGTGAAAGTACATAAGCTGATAATAGAATAAAACTTGAGTTGTTTGCACTTATATTAGATAAATTTAATGAATCACCCAAGTTTCTTTGTAAATTTACATTTTCAATAAATGATGATAAAAAAATTGGTGTGTATATTATTGATATTTTCGAACATATTAAGAAAATAAACGAAAAAAATATTTTTATTTTTAATTCCTTATTTTTATGTATAAAATTTTTAAATATATATACTAATATTTTAATATTTATATTTATTTTGCTATTTTTATTCTTATATAATTTTTCTAGATTAAAAAGAATTTTATCTAATTCTTTAACTTTTATTTTTTCATATTCATCATTAAAATTATTCTTAAAGTTACTATTTGCAATTAATTTAGATGTTTCTTTTTCATTATAATAAATGTTTTCTTTATATTTATCATTTTTAATTTCTTCCTCAATTTCATCATTTTTTACTTTTTTATCAATTTTATCATTTTTATTTTTTTCATCTTCATTGTTATTTTTTTCTTCATCTCTATCTTTTTTTTTTTTATTGTCCTTGTTATCATCTTTTTTATCTTGATTGTTCTTATTTTTTTCATTTTTCTTTAATAGATTTTCTTTTTCATTATAAGATAGGAATTCTTTTCGAATGAGATATAAATGTTTGCATTTTTCAATTATCCTTTTATGAAAAGAATGATTTAGATTTATTACATTTTCTTTAAAGAAATTTAAAGAATAATTTAAAGTACTATATTTTCTTGTTTTCTTAGTTATGTTATTAACTAAAAAGAAATAACTATTGAATGACGTTATATTTTTAACATTATTTATATAAATAAAACTTAAGGAAATATTGTAGGTACAGGTTTTATTTGAAATGTTTTGTAATAATTCAAATAGTTTATTATTTTCATCAACAAAATTTAAATATTTATGGTTTTTACTCCTTGTGGTATTGAACAAATTTTTTTTTTTTAATTTGTTATATATATAAGAAAAAAATATATTTTTTAAAAATATAGAAATATATTCACTTTTTTTTTTCTTACTAAAGAGATTAACTAATGTAAAATATATTTGGTCAGTTAGGTTACTATTTCTTTTTCTATCTTCATAACTTATGTTTTTATTTAAAGTTGATACATATTGACAAAAAATATTTTGTGGTAAAACTGCTTTCTTGTTTAAATATTTATAACTTTGCATATTTTAATATATTCTTCCTTTCTTATAATTAAATATTTCATAAGAAGTGAAAAATAAAAAAAAAAAAAAAAATGAATGAAATTAAAAGTATATAGAAAACATTTTATCGTTATACTTTTTTTTTTTTTTCTCTTTAAGCTTTCATTATTATAAAACTTCAAATTTCTATTCAAAAAATAAAAAGCATGTATGATATAAGAATTATTATGAAATAAAATTAAGTATTTTTATGTGTAAAAAGATCAATGCATGATATAAGTATAATAAGTATTATGAATTTTATAAAAATAGTAACAAAAAAAGCAAAAATAAATTTATTGTTGTTATTTATTATCAAAATTAAAAAATAGCAAGTAAAATTAAATTCAAGGAAAAATATAAATAAAACAGTAGATTGACAAAAAAAATGTACAATATATTTTTCTTCATGTAATAAATGATAGCACTTAAATCAGAAAATATTAAAAAAAAAAAATAGAGCTTTTAAAAAAAAAAAAAAGGTAAAATAAAAATGAAAAATATATACTTAATTTTTTTTTATTTTTTTAAAAAATATATTTAAAATGAAAATTCAATATTTATTAACACGATAACTTTTTAAATATCATAAGAATATGTAAAAAATATATGTTTATACATATATTTTTATATATTTTTTTTTTTTTTTTTTAAATAAAATTAAAGAAAAATGAATAAAATATATATAATAAATAATTATATATAAATCTACATAATTTTTTTTATTTTTGCAAATATTTTAATTAAGAATAATTGATTTTCTTTAATACATATAATTAAGCAAACATGTCATTTTTCCAACCTGTTGAGTTGATACGGAAAAGAAAAAAAATAAATGAAACAAACGATTATTTATTTGATTTTAAAATTCTAAAAACAAGAGATGAAAATGCTAGTATTAAATCAATTAGCATTTGCAGCAAATACGTAGCTATTAGTTACAACAATACAGTAATTAGAAAAAAAAAAAAAAAAAATTGAATATTATATCAATGTTAAAAAATTGAAATAAAATGAATATATGTATGGCTTTTATATATTTTTAATTTACATATATACATTTCTTGTATAAATAAAATTTTTATATATTTACCGATAAAAGCAATAACCTGATATTAAATAAATATACATTTATTATAAAAAAATTTTTTTTTCCTAATTTTCTTTAATAGATTATATTAAATAATATAAAAGGAGAAAGTTTAGATAAAAAATATCAGTGCAAAGAAAATGTAAGTAAATTAAAATTTCGAGATGATAAGATGCTAGGTGTTGGATTAGAAAATGGTGATATAGAATTAATAGGAATGTTTTGTTTTGATAGAATAAAAAAATTAGAAGGACATAAATCAACAATTAACGATTTAATTTTTAGTGCAAATTTTCAAAACTTATATTCATGTTCTCGAGATTTCACTATAAAAATATGGAATATATGGAAAGGAATATGTGAATATTCATTAGATTATCATATTGATAATGTTACTAGTATTTGCTTATATAATTTTGATAATAATATTAATTATTTAATTAGTTCAAGTTACGATGGTTATGTTTATTTATATGATTTAAGTTTAAACAAATGTTTAAATAAATTAGAATTAATTGAACCTGTAGATTATTTATATATTTTTAAAAATGAATATTTAGTTTTATCAATTAAAAATATAATAAAGATATATAATTTAGAAAATCTTGAATTTATTAAAGATATTATTGTTTCCACCAAAACCATCTTTTATATAAATATTTTCAAAAATTTTCTTGTGGCAGCAAGTTTAGATAAATCTATATATTTTATTGATCCATTTCATAAAAACCTACAAGTTAGTCTAATATTATTATTATAAATGATTGCAATTTAAATATATTTTTTTTTAAATGACTTTTTATATAACATTTTAAATTATAATCATATATATATATAAAGATATTTGTTAGTAGTAGTTTATTTAAAAATATAAATTATTTTATATATATATATAATTATTTTCTTTATAGAATATAAAAATTGTAAGCATAGCTAATTTTATTAAATCTCCCAAGTCTATTGATGTTTTTAATGATATATTAGTATTAGGAGAGCTGTAAGTTCAAAAAAAAAAAAAAAAAATAAAAAATAATATATTTTGTAAATAAAATAGTTATTTTTTATAACTTGAAGTATTTATTAATTTTTTAATTTTATTATATATTTTAAAAAAGTAGTTACATAAATATAACATATATATATATATATATATATATTTTTAATTTAAATTAGGGAGGGATCATGGTTTATTGAAGTTTATAATGAGAAAGAAAAAAACAAGAAAGCAAAAAATCAACACAATAACTCTATAAATAATTTTGAAGTATTAATATACATTAAAAAAAAAAAAAAAAAAAAAAAAAATTTTTCCTTTTCTTTAATATATAGAAATTTCCTTCTTTTTTATTTTTTTCTTTAGATGGAAAGATATGTTTATACTGATAATAAAATAAACAATTTAGTTAAAAAATTCAAATATAGAGATGCCTTAATGAATATAATAAATAACGAGTAATATATAAATAATATGTTGAAAATTATATATTATGTATAGTATCTTTTAAATTAATACTATTTATTTCATTTTTAAAAAAATAATAAATATTTCTAATATTTTTTTATATATATATAAAACTTATAGCCCTCAAAGTACTTTGTCTTTATTGGATTATTTTTCAAAACACAAAGTTTTAGTTGCTGCATGTAGAACATATTCAATACAAGAAGCATTAAAAATTTTAACGTTTTTCAGAAAAAAATTTGTAATTGATATTCTAATGTTTGAATTTTTTTTTTCATTTTTTAGTAAGTTAATGAGAAATTTTTTTATTTTATTATATTTTATTCATTTTTTAATATTTTTAACATTTTTTTTTATAGGTGCTAATAAATGGATAATAACCACAAAAAACACCAAAGTTTTAGAAGAATTACAACTATTAAAAAGAGTAATAAATTAAAAAAAAAAAAAATTATTAAAAAACTAAAAAAATTAAGCATATGTATTAATTTTTTTTTTTTTTTTTTTTTTTAAACAGGAATTTGAAAATGTAAAAAATAGTATGAAATATTATCACAGTTTAAAAGAAATTGCAGACAATCTTAAGAAATGAAAATATGTTTTTATATGTTTTGTTCCATTTATAAAATTCGATTCAATATGTATATATATTGTAATTTTAATTTTAGTTTTATTTGTAATTTATATTTTAGTTTTTAATTTTATTTCTTTTTATTTTTATTATTATTTTATTTTAATATATATATATATATATTTTTTTTTTTTTTAATGTTGTTTATAATTTAATCAAATAGTTATTTTATTGATGATTAATTACAAATATACATTAATATAAAAATAAGTATATTCTTGATAAAATGTTAATTAAAAAATTTATTTGCTTATTAATTTACATTATGTGTATGCATTTACATTTATATATTACATGAAAATTAAAAAAAAAAAAAAAAGGAAATAAATTTTACAATTAAAATAATAAAGAAGAAAGACCTTTTTATAAATTTATAAATTTTAATTATAAAAAAGTTATTTTATACAATTAATATTGTATTATAATAACAAATATAAAATGTAAATAAAAAAAAAAAAAAGAATACAATTGTTTTAGTTTTTATATATTCATATTATGTTTAATTTTTTTTTTTTTTTTTTTTTTTTTTTCTTAGAATACATTTTTTTTTCATATATTTAACCCTTTTAATAATTCTTTTAATATAAATTAAATAAAAATATTTACTTTTTGAAAAATCATATATATAGTTATCTGAATATTTCAGAAAAGAAGCGTTAACTTTTTTTTTAATACATATGTATTTTTGTTTCTCTTTTGATACAAACAAATTAAAAGACTGAAAAATTATTTTATTTATTGTATTTTTAAAGAAGATAAAAAAGTTGATACCATAAAATTTGTTCTTTAAGGGAATATAGAAATGCTTCAAATCTTCGTGAAATATTTTTCTTTTTAACAAATATTTAATGCATAAAGTTTGATAAAAAATATGGAAGTAATTGTTACAATCTGTTTTTCTTAAAATTTCTAAATATGTAGTATCACAACAATCATATGGAAACAAAATATTATTATTTTTATAAAGTTGTTTAAATAATTTATACATATAAATAATAGAGGGGCTCTTGAAAAACAACTTATAATAAAATTGATTTATTAAAATAGGAATAAAATAAAATTTTAAATAAAAATTCTTGTTTAGTAAAAATAGTAATTGCTCTATATCTTTATTTGATAAATATAAAATTTTTAAATAAAAATTATCATTTTTTACATTAATATGCTTATAAATATGATTAACTAAATCAAGTATTTTTAAAAAGAGAAAATGGTTCTTAATATTGTTTTTAAGAAATGCAATTTGATAAAAAATATATATGATATCTCGTAATTTTATGTTTTTAATCCCATCTAGCATATTTTTTCCATTTAATGATATTACACAATTATTTAAATTAGCATTATTATACATGGATATTTCTTTTATGTATATATAAAGTTTCCTTAATACTTTGTCTAATATTCTATTATAATCAAATTTATATATAGAAAGGATATATTTTATTATAAAAATAATAATACATAGATCTTTTATATTTTGTGTGTTGTTTATTAAATCTTCTATAAATGTTTTGTTAAAAAAAGGAACTATTGATGAACTTAAATAGTTTTTTTCTTCAAGAAAATATTGATTTCCATCCTTGTTTAATTGAAAAAATTTGTTTATATATTGGTATCTGACTTTATAAACATAGTTTATGTCATACTTTAAAATTATTTTACATAGTTTATTTAAAATTTCATTTTTTCTTTCAATTCTTTCTATTAAATGAAAATATTTTTCATTATTAATTTTCAATATATTGTAAAAAAAAAGTAGTTTATAGTTATTATTGAAATTAAAATAATTAAAAAAAAATATATCCAAAATATTTTGTAAAGAAAATAAAATGTTAGAATTGTCTTTGTTAATTTTTAAATGATTTATAATTTGGCCAACATACTTATTTATATTTTCATTATATTTTTTTTTACATATTTTTGATTCTAAATATCTGTATATATATAAATTAATCAAATTATTAATGTAATTTTGTTCATCACAAAAATTATATAATTTTTTCCTTATTTTCTTAGAGTAAAATGACTTAATGAAACAGTAACTCATTGAAAAAAAAAGAAAAATATACACATATGAATAAAACTTCTTTCTGTTAGAAATAAAAAAAGAAAAAAGATAAAATTAACAGAAATGAACAAAAATAAAACAAAAGAGATATTTAATATTATCGAAAAAGAAATTAAATCATTTAAACTTTTATCCCAATTTTTTATTAAATGTAAAAAAAAAAAAAAAAATTTAGCTTCCCATTTTCTTCAATTTTTTTTTTTTTTCCTTTTATCTCACAATTTTTACAAAATAAAAAAATTAACTTTTTACAATTTTATAAAAATTTTTATTCCCATAATACAATATGTTAAAATAAAAAATAAAATAAAAAAAAAAAAATTAAAATATAAAATGTATTCTTATTTTATTCTTCTATGGTATTCATATATAAATCTATATTTTTATTATATAATTTGTCAAAATAAAAAAAAAAAAAAAAAAAAAAAAAAAAAAA